CTTAGAGCTCTCTCTCTCGAGCCTCCACCGCGAGGCGGCTAGGATATAGGCATATTTCATATTTCTTAAATATGACTCTGGCTCATTGCGGTGCGGATGTGCGAGAGTTCACGGGCATAAACTCCTGTCTGGGTTCCCTCGGACCCGAGAACTTGTTCAAAACCTGTCGACAGTCCACGTAGCGATGGCCTTCCACTTTACTTGAGTGGGAATAACATTGCTGTTAGTACTAGCTTTAGCGGGGGTAGAAAGTAGTGATCTCGCGGTAACATTTGACAGAACCGCAGGAGACGAAAAAGTGAATAAAACCTTGTAGGACCTCGCTGAGGTGAAATGTTACCTAAATGCACTGGTCAGGCTATCGTTTTACACGTAAGGTAGCAAAAAACGATACTTAGAAGGAGACACGGTCATTAGAACAAGTGCATGATGCTCTCCCGAACCTCTCATCAGTGGCAGTTTCAGAAAAGTACAACTGTTCCAGCTAAGAGACTTGCAACCAACGTATGCTGCTTTGGGCAGAGGTTTTTGTCCACAGGTGTGCCCTAATTGTAAGTAGTCATGGGGACCGTTTAATGCGACTATGGAACTTAGGTATATGAATAGAGATGTCTTATATGGCCTCTCCTCCAGGACGTGGGAATAGGATACACCCGGGTGACTTTGAGCTAATTCTACGAAAGTTCGGGTGAAGGTTAAGATCAGAGTAAGGGTTAAGCTTGTGGTTAGGGTTACGTTAGCGAGAGTTTCAAGGATAAGGGTGGTTTTAAGATTGTGGTTACTGCTTGGCTTTCTGTCTTAAAATGTCGTGGCCATATCGCAGGGGGCTGAGTTAAACCGCGCAACTGCGATCTTCAGAACATGGTTTCTTAGTGCAGAAGAGAAGTCCGTAAAGGCCAAAGTAGTAGGAATGATGTATTGTGTACACAAAGGAAAGGAGAGTAGATGAGAGTAGATTAACTTGGGAGAGACACGTCCGGTCAGTAGGTTGACCGGGTCCTAAGTGAGGTCTGAGAGTAGTCGGGACAGAAGACAGAGAGAGAGAGCTTTCATTGGCTAGGTCGACCTGGAGATTTTGGGCAAAGAGGCAGCTTGCGTCGGGAACGCGTGCAAGGTTGCCATTCGTCGCCTAGCTGAAACCGTGTAGATGCGGGAACTATGATTGGCTGATCGAGACCTCGAGAAACCGCATCGGTGAGCCTTTGGGAAAGTGCACTTCGACGCGAGCTAGTCGGCTAGGTACGACCCACTACAGCCAACTTGTCATGCTTGGCATGACACCTGGCCTTGTCCATTTGACATGTACTGTGACGTACCACTACCCACTATAAAAGATTGCCATGTTATTATTTAAAAGCACTTCCCTGAACAGTCGCTCAGCCTCTATCGACTGCTGTACACAACACATAAAGTAACTGGGAAATTTTGAGCGGTGATCACTTCCAATTGCCGCTGATAAAAACAAATGACACTGAAAATGTTATTGTTGACTTCTTTGACCGCCTAACACCACCAGTAAGGATAAGTTACACGTCTGATGGTTGTATTCAATGCTACACTTCCAACAGCAGACTGCTGCTCACGCTGGGTTCGTTTGAATATGAAATACTCCATAAAATGGCAGTATTTAAACGGACTGATCTTGCCTTGAAGATAGGCCACAGGTCATTGAGGTCGAGAATTCCCAGCATACATAAGCAGCCGCGTGAGGACTGGAAATCAATAAGCGGGACATTGGGAATACTTTCATGCCAATGTGTGTTATCGCACAGAACGGCACGTACTTGAACCGCCAGGCAGTCTGTAATAGTAGCGTGCACTTTGACCCTGACCAGAGATCTTTCGTCAGATGTGATTGATCCAGGTCTGTTCGGCTCTTTCTCAGCGAGCGAATGCAATAACTTTACCCCACCTTTTCGTGAATACAGATCTCCTCGTGGTTGATTGTCTTCTTCTCCGCTCCATGTTGGCTGTGGAGAAAACAGTTGGGAAAGCCCACGGTTTGTGGTAATTACGAATACCAGTCGCGGGTGATAACACGGGGGAAAAATAAAGCTAGTTGTTTCTGGTCTACTTGCAGACGTCAACCAGTCATTTTCAACTTAACCCTAGTCCTATGAAACTCTGGATTTTAAATTCGGATTTGGTTAATCTTTTAGCCCTTCAATCACCTTATCCACTGTGAGCAACGGGTTCAGTTCACGTGCATTTCGATTTTAAACATTCAACGTCCAAATGG